TTTTTTTTTTTTTTTTTTTTTTTTTTTGTTTTCCATTTTACCAATCAACCATTTTTCTTTCCAAATTATTAATGGCAAATTATTAATTGACTTCTTATTGATTATTGGTTATTTTCGAGTCTCAATTGAGTCTTAATTGTTTCTTTCTGAGCAAGTATTAATTAGTGTGAAATCTCAGGAGAACTAAACATTCTTTATAAGGGTGTAAAAACCTCTCCCTAGCACACATTTTAAGACCATCAGACTAACGACAATACGTAAAGAGCAAAAACGAACAATATCTACTAGCGGTGAACTTGGGCTGTTACAAATGGTATCAAAACCAGATGGGCTAGAGAAGGAAATGAAACATTCCTTATAAGAATATAAAAATCTCTCCCTAGCATACACATTTTAAGACCGTCAGACTAACGACAATACGTAAAGAACAAAAACGAACAATATCTACTAGCGGTGGACTTAGGTTGTTACAAATGGTATCAAACCAAATGGGCTAGAGAAGGAAATAAAACATTCCTTATAAGAATATAAAAATCTCTTATTAGCAAACACGTTTTAAAACCGCGAGGCTGACGACGGTATATTGGACCAAAACAAACAATATCTCCTAGCGGTAAGTGTGAACAATCATGAACTTCTAAAAGTCTAAAAGTGTATGCTTCTTTGATTGATGATCTATACTGAAAGCCATGCACATTAAGCAGTTATATTTAATAACCCTTAAAAAGCCTATAGATATTCACATCAACTGAGAGTAGAGCTATAAAGATACGAATTCACAGCTTAATCTCAAGTACTTGATCAACCATTGCTACCTGAATGAGGATTAGTATGAATGAACTTGAAAATTACAACACAAATGCAAAGCCTTAAGATTCAAGGCAAGGAGTTTGAATGTTACAGAAATGAAAATGCAGAATATAAAACATGGGGTTGGTTGATGACTAACATTACTGTATATAACAAGTCGGCACAAACCAGTTGAAGTCCTTTTGTGATGGATTTCATGCTCTCACTTATCCTGTGAATACAAAGAAAAACCAGGCAAGGGCTGAATTAATTGTCAATCAATATGTATAAGCAGCTTCTTCTGTTTTTCCTCTTTTAACTGCTGTTTCACCTTGTATAAGCCCTTGGTTTCTGAACAGAAGTTACCGCCATAGCCGATACTAGGGAGATTTCTTCACGTCCATGTGCTTTCGACAGTACACGATTCTGCTCAATCGAAAAAGCAAGATCGTTTCATGCCTGCAAATTGATTGACCATGGATTTTCTTCCCTCAAATGATTCTCATAGTTTCAGAGAACCAAGCATATACATGGATGGAGCAAATCTTAGACAGACTATATCATATTCCTGGTGACGAATGAATGCATGTAAACCCCACAATAAAGCAGCAAGATATAAGAACAACAAGGTGATAGAAGAACTTGTAAAGCTTTGGGAAGTTCCATACAGTAATGCTCTTCCAGCTCATGTTAAGTAATCTATATAACAATAAAGAGAGAAATCAGTTTACAAGTGGGAGAGGGCGGAGATGTTGCAAACTTGAGATGGTAGAGAAATTTACTTGAGAGCAACGGCCAATTTCAAGGCAATTTGTAAAGGCCGAGAAGTGGCTTCTCCCTCTGTTCAACTCTCTTCTTTGCAGCCTCCCTTGCTTTAAGTGCAGCTTTTTCTTCTTCAGATATGACCTTTTGCTTCTCATTTGGCCTCTTCCTCTTACCAACAGCAATCGATGAAGGAGCGCCTTTAACCGATCGCTTGGGTTTTGAAGAAGCTGAAACAACCAACCCAGGCGGAGGCCCGCTTTCCCCTTTATCCACATTTTTGTCTTTTATTGCTGCACTTGCAGAGGCCGATGATGGGTTCTCTAAAACTGGTTTCTTATGTTTGGAGTTCAAAAAGAACTGAGGCGAAGCATGTGCCTCTTCCTGTGTTACCCACTTGCCTGTTGCAGACATTTAACTTGGTAAGCAGCGAATACTCGTATTCTAAAACATAAAAGAAAAATGAGAGCTCAAAGTTCATCGTCCCAAAATCCATTTCAGTACCAATAGCATCAGAGTAGTAGAAGCCAGAATTTGAGTCATAGTAAAAACCATTGCTTTCATTGTAATAATAGCCTGTAGTGCTGTCAAGCTCCCATTCTGTTATCATTGAGAGCTGTATCAGTTTGAAGAATGCTAAAGATCAAAACGATAATAAATGATAACGATCAGTTACAGGCTCACAACGTGTAAAAAAAGAATTATCCAAACGGAAAAGTTGATGGATCAAAGAGATCAAATATAAGATGTTCGTCTTCCCGTCCCCTTCTTTCTTCGTTTCTTATTAAGGGAATATCATGTTTCTTGCCAAAGAAAAGAAAAGCACATAGGAACAAAACTAAAGCAGAAAATAATTAAGCAAGCATACTGAAATCGTTAGTGGTTAGAACTTAAAAGAACAATGTGTCATGTTCCCTAAAAGGCCCAATTTATTGACTATCTATTGAACACTCATGCTAATAAATGTGCACGTATTATGACCAATTACATGGACCTTTCACTCAAGTAGATCAGATTGTCACAGAAATCAATGGTAGATCAGATTGTCCAATACAAGACATTTATTTTCATAAAGTTATGGAGAGAGATATAGACGCTTATTTCTGAAAACTAATAAAATTGCAACACTTCGGTACTTACTCTCTTCATTTTCTTGAACATCAACAGGAAGTGCATGAGAATCTCTAGCTTCCCGGAAATTTGCTATGTCCTTCTGATAACTACGCTTAGCTTTCTGCCACATTGAGAAAAAAAATTAACAACGTAAGAATATAAAAGTTCATTGATCAAGCACAAACTTGCTCATACACAATGAATATACTAAGGCAATACTCTCGGAGGACTCTCTTTCCTCCTATGTGATCTTCATGTATTTCGCACTTACCCCTGTTATTTAAAGTTTCAGCAACTTCATGTCTCTTCTTTATCACTGATAAAAGTATACATATCACAACCCCATTAAAATGAACTCACTAGAAAAGAAAGTTGCTAGAGATTGGCAGGCTAGCTTCATAAGTGGACAAACATACTCAGAAAGGATCTTTTTTTTTTTAGGGATAAGATACTCGATCGTTAAATTAGTTACAGTAGCACACTACTACCGATGCTTACTAGGCGCGTACATCAGACTCAAATGCTCATATTATATACTCGCAGTAAGAATCTTATGTACAATTACTAGTTACTAAGGACCCTTAGAAAAACTACATGAAATTAACAGGTCAAGTTCAAAGCAGAAACTATATTCATCTTTCACAATTCACTAATTCAATAACCACAAGCTAACCTTCGTTGAGCTAAAGGTTAAGGATGCATGTAAACAGCTTGGTTCCTTTGCAGTACTGATGCGAAGCAAGCAGATAGTTTAACTTTATGTCTTTAACCCAATCCCTATCTACAATAAAGCTGACATGAGAATTCATGATTTTGAGTACATTAAGGCTTACATTAATACTTCTCAATTGAACCAAGCGACCAAGATTTGAAAACTAAAACAGATGCATACCAATATACTCTAGGTCATCCACAAAGATGGGACGAATAGAAAGTTTATTCACTTACTGCCTCAATTTGCTCAACCGCGCGTACTGCTTCCTTTTGTTCCTTGTCCTTGGCAGCATTCTCTTTTCTCATGTTTGCAAGCCTTTTGGCAACATTGTCCTTATGACGTTCTCCGAGCTCATGATTTCGGATTGTGGAAGGATTATTTGAAATAAATATTTTGCAGAAGTCGCACCATTTGTTACCTTGGCTAACCCAATACTGTGGAAGGGATAAAACAAACAACGTTTAGCAGTCCTGCTTTCATAGATAATCATTGTAACTAAAATATGTGTTTATCCGCACAATTGAACTTCCAAACACTGTAAATATAAAAAATATAAGATAACAGATGCCAATCCCAAAATGTGAATCAAAACCCAAACAACAATTTAAAATAAAAAAGATCCTAATGGAAAGTGAATATGCACACACAATGTACGTAGCATGTAGACGTACATATAAATGTATACGTGAAACAAACTACAACTTGTACCAAAAATTGAAAACCGATCTGGCATCACAACCACAACATAAACGAGAAGCAATATTTCAATTCTCAAATGCAAAAGTTTTCCGGAACTACACATTATAAATGCTTTCCAAAACTAATGAAAGAAGCAAAAAAGTAAGAACATAAAATAGGCAAATAATTTGCCTCTCTCCCCCCCTCCCCCCTCTTATCAATACAAAAAGATCAACCAACCAGCGAAGTTTACTTAATAAGCAATACAGATAGTGATAAGGATCAACGTGTTCCAAATGTTTCAACTGGACCTATTACATGATCCAAGACCAAAAAAATTCAACAAACATTCATTATTCATTATTCATCTACAAAATTGGATAGGCTCGGTTCAACCTCATTTTCATGAGTTATAAGTTGACTCGATTGAGGAAGGACAATTTGGAGTTTCGGAAGTGAATATTTGCATGGTTGAAGTGGAGGATGAGGTTATACATAGCACTTGATTGATTATTTCTTTGAAAACTTTATTTATTATTTTAATTCCATAACTTCTTGCAGGGGGCAAAACGGTGGGAAGTTACTTGTCAAAATGGTCCTAACTTCTTTTTTTAGTGGACATTTGAAGGGTAATGGAGAGTAACTTACCAATCATGGCCACGAACTTCATTTAGTGGGCATTTGAAGAGTTTGGAGTTTCTTTTGTGGAGAGACTATAAATACCCACAAATTTGTACGTAAAAAGCAGATTTTTAAGGAATGAAATTGAACTCTCAAGTGGACTTTCACCTTTAGAAATTTGAGCATCATTTTGCCATTTTTAAGTTTCAAACAATTCTTGTGGTAGATTGCATTCAAGTCATTCAATCAAGTCTCGATCAAGTTCGATTGTGGAGTGACTCAATTTAGAACAAAGTTTCAAGTCTTGCTTCTATATCTTTGATCTTAAGAGGTAGCCTAATTGTAGTATTATCTCTTCGTTGATCCGAATTTTGTAAAACGAGGTGTTAATTTCTTTGATTCAAGGTTTATTACTTCAACAAAAGCTTGATGGTTGGACTGAGGATTAAGATTGCCTTATCAGGCAGTCAGATAAAAACCAAACAATCAATCAGCAAAAAGCTAGAGGAAAATGCCAATCTTTGAATCACAATAACATTTCGCGACAAAGTTTACATCTGCAAGATGGGGCCAGAATTATATTACACATACGGTTGAATATCCATGTGAATTTTTGACATGGAAAGAAATCGAGTAGCTTAGCTGCTCGAGATCCTTTGAAGTTCATCAAACAGTAAATATAAGCAAGAAATCCAGAAAAAATGTTTAGCAAAAAAAAAAAAAAAAGAATTTGAAGAAATGAGTACCTCAGTCATGTTTCAGCGCCTCGCAGAATATCAAAATCTGTGGGCAGTGCACACTGGAAGCTGTATTGAACGCAAAGATTGAGCCAATTATGAAGCGTGTAGCGGAAATATGTTTCGAAATCGAAGAAATTGATTCCGGGAGATTGTATGAAAGAAATCTTAAACCCTAAATCTCCCGCTCGAAGAGTAGATCCGTTGATTTTTGGGGATCAAGAACATTCGGGTTCGAAAAGAAGCGGGTCGTCGATGAGTTCTGTTCTAGCATCAACCCGGCGGCGGGACGGATGAGATGTGAATTTGCAATTCTATTATTATTATTATTTTATTATTATTCTTAATATTATTTTATTATTATTATTATGACTATTACTATTTTATTATTATTATTATTATTACTCTTTTATTATTATTATTATTGTAAGAGCACAAAACTGACTAAAAAAAGATTTTTTTTCCCTAAAAAACAAATTTCACACTTTTAATATCAATTTCAATAAATGTATCTTCAAATTTAAATTCATTACAAATACATCAATATAGGGGTAAAAACAAAAATAATAATTTTGGTAAGTCGAGATTTAAAAATTTATTTGTTTTAAAATATTAATTTCCATAGATACAAAAATTACGAATTAAAAAGTTTCCGAACTAAATTTATTATTTAACTAGCGTACTTTAAGTTTAGGGGGCAAAACTCAAATATTTTAAAATATTGACTAATGAAAATAAAATGAGTTAAATAAAACATAAATAAGGTAAAATATGAATTTTTCTACCTTCTATAAGAATATAAGAAAAAATAAATAAATGAATTTGTCATTCATCAAAGAAGGATTCGAACTTCTAACCCGTGTAAAAAATGTTACGATTAATTAAACTATGATTAAATCGACCATCAACCTTATACATTCAAAACACGAAAAACAGAACGAACAGTTCAATTCCATTTGTGCATTTCTTCTTAAACCTCCCCTTCATCACCACCAACCTTTTGTCTGTCGACTCCCTTTGTCCACGCTCTTCCTGTTCTTGACGATTCCAGCTGCAGCTCTTCTCGTGGCTCATTTTGAGTTTTGGGTCATAGGAGCCATCGTCGGTTTTAGCCAGATGGAACATCAATTCTTCCACTTGACCGTTACACGCGTCGTCTCTCTTCCTTTATCGCTTCTCGGGGCATTAAGATGGTAGAAAGAAGAATAGCCAACCACCTGAAATCTCTGGCAAACGAAGGGAAGCCATAAGCTTATGATGCTTACTTCCATTCTATCTTCATCTTCTCAAGATATTCAATAGATCGGTTCTTGACATTACTAAATAGTTCTTCACTTTATTCTTGAAGTCCTCAAGTGAGCAGAACTGTATGGTAGTAAGCCACTGTGAGCCATATCTTTAATCACATTGAAAACTGCATCCATGTTACCTTCTTTATTGTTGATATCAACAAGTACCTTCGCAAGCTCGGCGTCGGCAATCCTACAGCTTTTCAGCGTGTACTCAAGAACTCGATTCAACTCTACATCTTTTCCTTCAGCAAACAGTAAGTTACCCAAAGCCATAATAGTCACAGAGTGGGGAACGAATCCAGATCGTAACATTTCCTTGTACAAACTGTAAGCTTTTTCGATATTTCCAACTTTACTGTGACCGTGTGTGATGACGTTATAAACTGCCTCGTCGGGTTCGTAACCTTTCTGAAGCATAGACTCGAAAACTCTGTCTGCTTCATTCATCAAACCCTTCATACAGAATCCCTTCATAAGAGCCAACGCACTCTTGAACTCTAAATTGTTACAGTTATCTATCAGAGTGTTATATGTGATTTCATTTGGCACAGACTCTACATATAATAACTTTAGCAGAAGCCTCTTCGCTTCCTTTGTACGAGCTTGCTTATTTAATCCGTTAATAAGCACATTATAGGTAACAATATCAGGTAAGAACCCCTTTTTTATCATCTCATCGTGCAACCCGAGAGCCTTATCTAAATCGCCTTCAGTACAGTAAGCATTGATCAAGGATGTGTAAGTAACTTCATCAGGAGACAAGCCAACACTTACCATTTCTTGAAAGAGATCACAAACTTCACTGAGTCTTCTCTGCTCACAAAGACCTTGAATTAATGATGAATAAGTTACTGTATCAGGAGAAATACCCTTAGCCACCATCTCTACTTTCAGTTGAAAAGCTTTCTCCAATTCTCGATTCCGACAAAAACCTGAAATAATCGTACTATAGCTCACGACGTCGGGTGTAAAACCTTTCTCTGTCATTTCTTGAAGGAGTTCAGCAGCCTCTTCCATCCGCCCTAAGATACAGTGCCCATTAATGAGAGTATTATAGGTAACAATTGTAGGGGTGAATCCATTCTCAATCATTTCTTTCATAACCTGGTATGCTTGGTTTAGTAGTCCCTGTTGAGAAAATCCATCAATCAATGTAGTATACGTCCTCCCATTCGGACGTAGTCCCCTATCACGCATCTGGTCCAAAAATTCCATAGCTCTATTCAAATTACCAGCCTTGCACATGCTATTAATCAAAGTTGTGTAAGTAACGACGTTCGGTGACAAACCATTTTTCACCATCTCTGCGTGCAACACAAGTGCTTGATGAAAATTACCTTCCTTACAGTAACCATTTATAAGTGTATTCAATGTCACCTCATCAGGAACATATCTCCTTTTGTTCATCTCCTCGAGAATGTCGCTCGTCTCCTTCATTCGTCCTTCTCGACACAACCCATTTATCACCACATTGTATGAAATCAAATTTGGCTCCAAGCCTTTGAATGCCATGGATCGTAACAACCCGAACGCCTCATCGATCTTCCTCAACTTACAATAAGCATCAATTATGGTATTATAAGTAACCACATTTGGCAGACATCCATTTCTCTCCATTTCACCAAAAAAAGACAACCCCATTTCCAAATTCCCAGCAGCACAAAACCCGCGAATCAAAATGTTATATGTATACACATTGGGGGAAACACCACATTCTATCATCTCCTTAAAAACCCCCTCCGCGAACTTAACCGATTGTTTAGTCCTAATTACAGCATCTAAAACAGCATTATAAGAAAGCACGCCCGGCATAAACCCATGAGATTTCGCTAAATTAACAATGTTCAAAGCCTTATTAATCAAATTAACGCGAGAACAAGACTTAACCACAAGATCGATTACCGCAGAGCTGGAATTGCACAGATGATACGAATCCTTCAGGCATTGAAAGAGTTCAGCGCCAGTTTCATCAATCGTATTGACCGCGACTTCCTCAGCTAGGGATTGCGCCGTCTTGTAGAGTTTGAAGCGAGTGAGGATGTGGAGCGCGAGACATTTGCATTGGAAGGAGAAGAATCTCTGATAACGTGCCCAATCGAGGAATTTGAGGACTAGATTTTGATCGAATTGGGATTTTAGGAGTAAATTGGAGGAGGCTTGGGGAGTGAAGTGGGAGGAAAGAATGGCGAGCTGATCTGGGTGGCGCCGGAGATAGACGATGGCTTTGTCGGCGAGAAGAGCGTCGGCGGGAGAGCATAGAGTGGATATTGAGCGGTAACAATGGGGTCTATTGAGGAGCATACTGCGAACGGAGATGGATGAGGGCTAGGGTTTCACCGACAAAAGGGAAGGAGGTTCAGAGTTATCCTAATTTATACGTTTTCCCATCATGGTTTCCCGGCCAAAGCTAAAGTTTTTAAAATAAGCTCGGGGCAGTCTAATCTAGTCTTGTTACTAGTGGGCCTCTTATCTATTCTTCTCTCGATATCGAGCCTTGTCTCGTTGTTGAGTTATCAAATCGAGACTAATCACTAGTTATTATAAAAACAATACGTAAATCCAAAACAATTGCTACAACCAACACACTCTATCCAGAGAGTCGTTGGTGATTTCCTTCTTGAACAGGCGGTTGAGAGGTCTTGTTTAAATGTTGAAAGAACGAAGCTCTTGCTCTTTACAGGGTGTTTAGCAAGTTTGACGACCCAGAAAAAAAAAAAAGAGATAGAATTAATTCAAGCTAGTAAACGATTAAGGTAGGCGACGAGAAAGATAAAGAGGAGTCATTGTTGGTGCATAACAGAGCTTTCCTATCGATGTTCTTTCTCAGTGTATAAGCGAGGCTTAGCCTTAGTGTATTTTTAGTCAATTTTGGGTCACTGAAATGATTAAAACTTATGGAGTAAAGAGAAGTGTGTACATTGTCACACTCTCTACCTTCCTAGGGTACTTAGAGGACAGGTAAGACGCAACATAGCGACAACTTGTGAGCGAATTCTCCACCAACAGAAGGATAGGAGACAACCAAAGGGAAGTGTGTATATTGTCACACTCTCTACCTTCCTAGGGTACTTAGAGGACGAGTCAGACGCAACATAGCAACAACCTGTGAGCGAATTCCCCACCGACAGAAGGATAGGAGACAATCAAAGGGAAGTGTGTGTAACGTCACACTCTCTACCTTCCTAGGGTACTTAGAGGACGAGTCAGACGCAACATAGCGACGATCTGTGAACGAATTCTCCACCGACAGAAGGACAAGTAAGTGTATTCATAAAATAAATTGAAAAGAAATGAGTGTTAGAGATGAAAGAAAGTGGAGAGAAGATGGTTGAAAGTTGTGTATTAATAGTGTCTTTCATGAGTGGCAATGCTATCACACTATCTGATAAAAGAAAAGAATAAGAACAATAATACTAAATTACATCTTCATTTATAGTGGAACTTCTTCAAGTCAACGTTCATGGGAAGTTGTTCATATAGCGCTCTTTTGAAATGAATGATCCAAACAGCTCCCAAAAGAATTGGCTCTGCGAAGTAAGTTCATAAATATGCTCCAAAACTACAACTTTTCTGCTATGCTTCCATGCTTTTTCTGGTGTTTTAAGGCCCCCTTTTCACATCCAACCAATACCGCTCATGAACTACTACTCTGTACTCGGATAATCCACGCCTAGATCGGCTATAACACGTTCACGACACCTTTGCTAGTGATCGGCTCGACACGCCGTGCAACAACTTCACAAATCCAAGGAAGCTTAGCTTCCCATCCGTGTGTCTGATCCAATCTTGCAGAACGACGTGGAGTGGGATGGCTGGTCCAAGTCCGAGTTCCTGCAATGTTTGAGACAAGATATTTGAGACAAGATACGACGACATTAACATACACTTCTGATAACAGCCAGGTAGAGATGACATTTCAGGAAAGAGACCAGATAAGAATGACAAAGTTTGCAGATATTATGAAACTGAATGTGGGTTTCGACTTACAGAAGCGAGTTCTTCTATGACGATTGCTCGATTTCCGTTCTTCTCGAAAATTTCGTATGCACAACGAGCGTGTTGTTCCCACCGGTCCAGTGCTTCGAGCTGATGGATGCTCAATGCAGCAGCACAGAATTCTTCGAAATCCATTCCTCTGTATTGAAGTGTATTCAACTGTCATGGAAGAAGTCATTAATTAGTAGTCAGTAGGCATTGTACAAGCTTTGTAAGCATATGCCTAAATACAGCTTGTTGCACAGGGAGAAAAGCAGCAAAAAGTTACATTTGCAAGAAAATCGAGCGTACGGGACTCGTTCATGGCATCGGTTGCATGTTTCGCGAGACCCTGTTCAAAATAAGAGGACAACAATGAATTTACACCGTTCATTTCGTTCTTGTGTTCGTGTGTGCACGTGCATGAGAGAAAGAGAGAACAAACCATCTTAATTGTTTCCAGAGTTATAAAGCCATTTTTATTTGGTTCCAACAGTTCGAACTGTTCCTTTAAATAAGAGAGCTCATCTACCGTCAATGTCTTGGATACAGCCTGCAAACAGTGCGCCTTTAAAGTTATATGGGATCACAAATAAATTTAAACTAAGGAAAAAGAAGCATTCCCTTCCTACAACATACAACTACGCACCCGTAAAGCAGCCTTACGCAAGGACGATGACCGCATATAAACTCTCATGAGCTTGAATATTAAGATATCGATAGGAACTTTTGCACCGTTGTAATTCCGGATCCAAGGATGACCTGCAAACATATCATTGCAGAAGATTTAGGATATTAAGCAAGTCAACGTCGTACGAGGGGAAGACAGGAGCTTACTTAGTGCTTGAGCAGCCGTCAATCGTTTGCGTGGATCCTTGTTTAGTAAGCGCTTGACGAAGTCCTTTGCTTCAGAAGATAATGAAGGCCATGGACCTTCATCGAAACTTAGATCAGCTTTCAAGACTGCTCGAAAAATTCCTGACTCGGTCCGAGCCCAAAATGGACGGCTACCACATAGAAGAATGTATGCAATCACACCTATACTCCACACATCGGCCTCTGTACCGTAAGATCTATGGAGAACTTCGGGTGCCACATAGTATGCACTTCCAACTATGTCGTTAAGTCTTTCGTCTATAAGTAACAAAATTATATTAAGAGCACCATCTAGTACTTGAGAAATCAACAGCAAAAACATGGAAAATAAGATGAACCTGGTTTGACGAAATCAGATAACCCAAAGTCTATGGCTTTCAACTGGGCGTTCTCGTCTTTAGATGTATACAAGAAATTCTGGGAAATTTAAATTATTAGAACAAAAAATAAACGAAATATTCATCGGGATCATCTACAATTGACTACAAGAAAAGGTGAAGGCAAGATGGATGGGACCTAGAAAACAGCCATGACACAAGAGAGACAGATGAGAAAGGGAAAAAAAACTTCTATATATCTTTATACAGAGGAGGAGATATAGAATGATAATTTTGCTACTGAATTATGCCATTGAACATCTAGAAGTTAACTAAAAAGAACTAAAAAGGAAATATATTACCAATGATCCGGTTCCCATAAGAGGCCGTATAACGGTCCAAACCCACTACTAGCAGATATTGTTCTCTTTGGACCTTCCCTTTCGAGCTTCCCCTCAAGGTTTTTAAAACACGTTTACTAGAGAGAGGTTTCCACACCCTTATAAAAAATGTTTCGTTCTCCTCCCCAACCGATGTAGGATCTCACTATCCAACCCCTTCAAGGCCCAGCGTCCTTGCTGACACTGCATCGTGTCCGCCCCCCTTCGGGACTCAGCCTCCTCACTGGCACATTGCCCGGTGTCTAGCTTTGATACCATTTGTAACGGCCTAAACCCACCACTAGCAAATATTGTCCTCTTTGGGTTTTCCCTTTCAAGCTTCCCCTCAAGGTTTTTAAAACACGCCTACTAGGGAGAGGTTTCCACACACTTACAAAGAATGTTTCATTCTCCTCCCCAACGGACGTGGGATCTCACATGTAGCATTACATCTAATATCAAATCAGACAAACACATACAGTTTTGACATTTCGGGTTATTTGGTGAGGGCTCAGATATGGGAAGACAGGGAACAAGCCTCTTGCGTGACTAGTTTTCACACAACGCTCTCAAGGTTGATTGAGCTGTTGTGGCTAAATGTATTTCATAAACATTCCATGCCATTATCAATGAAATTTACTTCAAAAGTTTTGAGAATATGATTAACCTCGGGTTTCAGATCTCGGTGCACGACACCCTGAAGATGACAAAATGCAACAACAGTCAATATCTGAACCATGACAGCTTTTGCATCTTCTTCCGAGTACTTTCCACCTCTAAAGAACATCAATACAATCTCTATCAGAGACAAATAATGCAAGTCAAAAAAATTAAAAAACATACTTAAGTTAATATTTGTTACCAAAATTACTACCTTGAAAGTATTCTGTCTAGAAGCTCTCCTCCTTCGCACAACCTGAATGTCCACATAAGTCATTATGAGTAATGTCTATGAGATTGTAAAACAAAATCTACAGCCTAAACAATATAGGAAAGTTTGAAGGATTCTAAAGATACATAGCTGATTGAGGATGCTATAAAATGACAATTTTAAAGTATAAGGAGGAGCTCCAAGCTTACTCCATTACAATGTAGACATTATCATGGTCTTCAAATGCTTCATAGAATTGTACTAGATTGGTACGTCCGGTCAAGGCTCGCAATATTTTTACTTCCCTTCTCACATCCTCAATTGCAATAGCTGTTGTCATCTGGAAATTACAGAAAGCAAGGTTTACAAGTCATGAGCGTGTGAGAGAGAGAGGAAGAAGAAGAAAAATTAAATAATCCCATTGGTTAAAGAAGGCTCGTTTGATAACACCGAAACAATAAAAAAATAAGCATGAAAGAACAATGAAACACGATCAGTTTCTAGTAGCGAGCAAGACTAAAGGTTCATACATCCATAAACATGGTTAGTGCGTAAGGTTAATCCTCTCAATCAAAAATAAATCACGGGATAAAATGAGGTCAAAAAGTACTTGATTCTGTATAAGGCATGCCACTCGTCGTAGATCCTAGGTAAGGGGTGTCACTGCAACTAAGCCAGTGCCACATTTACAAAAACTCGAGTGTTTCTTATTTAGATGTGATCCTCAGAATTGATCTTCCCACTTGCCATCAAACAAGGAAAAATATAACGCTATCGAGCATGTTCATCATGCATTATCCAACTAAGGGAATGATTAATGAGCAAGGAAATCTGAATACTGAACAAAAGATTTGTAAATAACAACTCCAAAGAGTCCAGATAGCTAAGTGCCCACCCAATTCAAATGTCAGCTGTATGGATATCAGAG